TCCCATGAATTCGAACAGAGCAAATATTTGAAGGCAGGATGGTAATCTGGATGAACTGACTGCACAGATTAGGTTTTCAGGTGGACTTTCTCACTTAAAAATATATTAAAACTTTTTACCCACTGATAACAGCAAATATAGCTGCCATTGTTCCAGGCAAAGAAAGGATAGGATAGCTCCGCCCAACGCGCAGCTAGAGCAGCAAAGATGCTTCAGCCACATGCCAGAAACTTGAACAAGCAGCAATAATAAAGCAGTACGCGTGTTTCTGCTGCTCCTGCTGCGTGCGGGCTGAACCGCAATAGATCCAAAGCAGTCCTCCAACATCAGACAGAACATCAAGGACTAAATGACTAGTTTGGGTAAAAGACAAGTGTAGGTGAGTAAATCTGTGATAATTTGTTTATGTCTTGTGGTTTTGCAGGCTCGATGTGAGAAAGATTAGCATGCTTGGCATTTCTGGGGATTACAGACATTATAACCAGCCTGAGTCAAATCATCCAGAACCGCAGACATGTAGGTGGACTGTTAGCTGAGATAAACCAGAACACTCAGAAATCTTTAGTTATTACAGTGACCCGTATGTGACACAGCCAAAACAATAAACAGTGCAGGAAAGTGAGCAGCCAGAAGAAAGGATGCTCCATCTGGACCCTGACTGACCTCTTTTCAGCCCGACTCTCAGATCTCAGCAGGGAGCAAATAAAGAATTACTCTGAGCAGAAATCCTTTGAGCTTCAACCACAGATGTTATTTTTTTTAGCTATATTATAAAGGAAAAAGGCTGAAGTGGTTAGAAACTGATGGCTGCTACTGTAGCTTGCGGCTGAACTGTGAGGTAAAGATGGTTGAACAGGAGAGAATCCCTCAAGTCAACGGTTCAAACTCTTGAAATTAACTTTTGATTCAAAAGTAAGAAAAGAACAGATGTTAATAAAATATTTAACTCTAAAGCTGATATAATCATTATGAATGGTCTCTATGGAGGGAGGGAAACGATTAGATCAAATAGCTCGTGGAATATGGTGTTTAACACCCCGGTCCTCCTGATATCAGCACGATTCTATAATCATTTCTCAATGTTTTATATTGAGCCACAAGTGGCCTCATGCAGTATTGAGTTTGGACCCTCAAAATGTGTTGACAGCCAATGATTTATTCATATTGTTTGCACAAAAACCTTTTTCAGAAGCATCAAGTAACCCTTACAGGACAGAGAGCCATAATTCCCGTGAACAGGATTTGTAATAGTAAATAAAAAAAGATATAAAATAATAAAGAATTGCAATTTTTGTAACATGTTATTTTCTGTTAAGATTAACCAAGTGATGCAAGGTCATGGTTTTGGTTCTGTTTAAGTTCTGTTTAAGTTTCATTTCTCTTATTTCCATTTTTGAGTTCTGGTTATTTTTTATTTTTGTATTTGAGTTCTTAGATAGTTCTTGTTTGCCATCTTGTGTCAGTCTTCTTTTCCCTAGCACCATTATTGCCTCTGTTCACACCTGCTCCCAATCTGCTAATTAGCCTGCTCTTTCCGTAAAAGCAAAAAAAAATAAATAAATAAATAAAAAAATAAAAATCGACTGGACTTGGTTTCTAAGATTTGAAGACATTTCTCCATCTCTCCAGGAAGCTTTCTCAATTCAAATGTCTGGATCCGCAGTGAGTTTGTGTCTTTATATAGACAAAGCCTTGAATTGCTTGGAAACATGCAAATGGTAACCGATGAATGGGTCGTTTGGTTCCATTGTTAGCCTGTAATATCTGTTGTTAAAGGGGGGGGGGGATTGTCTACTGTAATACCTGGTATTACAATAGACAATCCCCCCCTTTAACCACCGACCTTCAGAATCATAGACAGGTTTCAGATATAACAGGCTAACAATGGAACCAAACGACCCATTCATCGGTTTCTATTTTCGTGTTTCCAAGCGATACAAGGCCTTGTCTATATAAAGACTTAAACTCATTGCGGATCCAGACATTTGAATTGAGAAAGCTTCCTGGAGAGGTGGCGAAATGTCTTCAAATCTTGGAAACCAAGTCCAGTGGATTTTTTTTTTTAACTTTTACAGAATGACTATGACCTGGATGACTGAGAACCTTCATCAGCATAGCCTGGTCTTTGTTTCTCTCTCCCATTTATTCTCCTGTTCAGTCATTCTTGGCTGGTTTGTTCTGTGAAGTGGGGGAAGGAGGTTTGACAGGAGTACAAAAA